GTGCTTAAAAGATTTTATTGCTGATTTTAATTTTCTGATGTGAGTCAATTTTGTTGGTAACTCAAAGGTTGGTCCGGGGTAAACGACATAAAAGCCATTTACCAAGTCTTCTACTAACAGCTGTCCAAAAATACCAGCAACCTGTAAAAATGGAACCTTGATCGTACCCGCTTGTTCATCAGTTAAATCTCTGCTCAACAGGCCATTCAAAATTGATTGGTTTATTCTAGCTGAGCGACAACGATCTTCAATTACTTGGAGTTGCTTGAGCGGAAAACTCTTGTAGGACTTAAAAATCGGACGTCACATTTCCGTCCTTTTTCATGACTTGCGGATTGGCTCAAAGGACAGAATGACTCTCCCCTTATGCACCAAAATATTCATAATTCATAAGTTTACACGCCTGCAAAGGATCAAAAAAGATATTCTTTATTTACCATTTACAATGTATTCCAGCTCCATTTTGCAGTCCATTGACAATGTAAGCACATGCTTTTATAATAACATCGATTTCAGTGTGATGTTCACCACCACAATCTAACAGATCATTTCCGTCTTTGACATTGTAAAGGCTGATTGAGACAATATTTATACGCTCCATTAACATCGTCTTCCTTTACCATCTATATACCAGTAAAAATAAAGACAGACTAAATATACACATATTTGTATACCTACTTTTTCCAGCTTTGCAATGAACTTCTATCAACTCGGGAACTTTGAGAATTTCTTCATAATCCTTCATCATATCCTGACATTCAATGTCAGAAACCATAATCGCATATGAGCTGAGAGATCGATAACTCTTGACATCCCATATCTCAAGGTTGCCTTCTCTTCTGCAATTATTTTTTAACATTATGGCATGTTGAGATATATTTTTAACAAAAATTTCATTAACGAATTTTCTTGAAGACAAACTCCAATTCTGTATGTTAGTTGGCAGTGGAGAACTGAGAATACTGTCCAAGGTAGGAATTTCTTCATCATTATCTACCATCAATGGATTATCATTCTCTCCGTCACTCAGCGAAGTGAAATCTGGTGGTGGTGGTAGTCTTGTTAGTTTTGTGCCATCGGGAAGGATGTTTCCAGAATGATTCTTTTCCTAATCACAAGCATAAGATTAATTATAAATAACTTTTGTATCTCACAAAGGTCACTATTATGATTGTCCGCTTTCTGGTCTCACATACTTAATAATAAATTTTTCAAATTATGATAAAGGCAAATGAATAATTTGATGAGCAAAAGGCTAAAAAAAGCGTTTTTGATAGCTAAAATTAAGTTATATCCCAACCTTATTTGGGGGAGTTGACTTCTCATTTGGATAAGTTCGCTTGCTCCCAATTACCAGTTCATTCTTCTGATTCAAAGTAAAACCTAACTTCGTCTCGTTCAAGATGGCATTGGCCTCATTTCCCGTTAAAGATTGGTTGACAGCAAACTCAGCCTGCAAACTATGAAACAAAAATAGAATTGATGACTTTTGCACAGTTTGACATACCTCCTTCATTGTAGCTATCTCCAATTCGACAGTATTCCAGAACATCTGCACACTTTCCCCTTGTGCTTGATTCTATAGTAGTAGAAGGAAACGGTTAAAATTATTACACCAAAAACCTGGAGGAGGCAAGGTGAGTCGTGAAGGACTACGAATGAACATATTAGTTCTTGGCACTGTAGCATATAAGGCACTGGCCTTCACGTAGACTTGAGATGGAGCCCACCAGAGATATTACTCCGTTATTAGTCTGGCGCGTAGGCAGACATTTTAGGTGGTTGTTCCGGCATATTAGCCCAACTCCTTCCCTATCGTTTGCATCCAAACATCAAGCTTAAATAAAATAGATACTCGCGACTCAAGATGAGCCCACCAGAGATATTACTCCTTTATTAGTCTGGCGCGTAGGCAGACATTTTAGGTGGTTGATTCGGCATATTAGCCCAACTCTTTCCCTATCATTTGCATCCAAACATCAAGCTTAAACCTTTGGAGTTACCAACAAAATTGACTCACATCAGAAAATTAAAATCAGCAATAAAATCTTTTAAGCAT